AGACTATTATCTATCCTTCTGATGATCCAACTAGTGGGTAATGCGTCTATTAAGTATTAACCTATAATAACATAACTTATTAATATTTATGGCATTCTGGTAGAAGTTAGATTCTTCACTAATTCCAAATATACTTTCATGGCTATCAAATAAGGATCATCCAGGCATGACAGTTGGGAGGCACATCCATTTCGGCATATAGCTTTTCTGAAATCCAACAACCAAGCCAACGTGCTCATTATAGACACATCTTCCGTAAGTAGACCAATCAGAATATTTAACTGGAATTAATGACTATTCTGGTACTTATAGGTTCCTAATAACAGTTATTAACATAAGTATAAGTTACCCTAAAATCCTAGTAAGATCTAGCGAAAATCAGGAAATTATACAGGCAGAACTCCGACCTGAAAGCTCCTCTTCGTCAGGCTCCTATCTCAGAGCCCTGCTAAAATGAGAGTTGGTGTGAGGAATAATGAGAGTTAAGCTGCTATTTATAAGAATATAACCGGGGGGGGGGGCCTATTGATGACGATGTCCATTCGTTTCTTGCCACATGTCACTTTCAAATTCGTCCACATCTAACCCTTCTAAAAGCTGCCACATGTTATCTTATTGTGGCACCACATGTCAAAAGCTCGTGATGCCATGTCCCCATGTGTCTCGGAAGCGGGGGTTGCCGACAATGCCACGTGGCGCCTCATGGTGGTGCCACATCATTATATCAAGTATTTTACTGAAATCTCCGAATGGCCATAACTTTTGCATACTAGCTTCGTTTTTGACGTTCATTATATCCCCGAAATCCTCTCGACGAGCCCTACATATTTTCTAGGTTGGAACAACTAATTCTCACTTTATTTTAAATTCGTATTTTTATAGAGATTAGGTTGTTAAAGTCCATACGAAATACATAACTCCTTCATACAAACTTCGTTCTCGACTGTCTCTATATCTAAGGATTCGTATTCACGAGATCTTCAACTATGGTTCAGATTGTTTTGGCTAACAATCAACCGATTTGAATTCCAATTTATGTGTCCACACTGCTACGTTTAATGATCAACCCCATTACCCGTTTATTGAGATCCCGCCCAACAAAATTCGACTTTTGAAGATGCGTTGTGAATCAGACCGCTCGATGTTTCCAAAAAAAAGGAGGGAAAAGAGTAGTGTACTACTACTACTCATGAAGCATTTCAAAAGAGCCTCGGCAGAAAATCAATTAGTTTATTATTTAAAGAAAATATATACTAACTCACAAAATTGATCTTGTTGTCCTTTCAGATAATCTCTCCAGCGTCGCGACACTCAGGGTGCGCCAACAACAAACTCGCGGAGCAAATCCCGGTCTGTAAAGCATTTACAGGGGACTTGTGAAGTGTGCACCGCTAACCAGTCACTCAAAGTTCCCATTCAGCGGGCATAGAAATATAACTCCCCGCCCAGTGTTGGCTGCGGGTCTCGTCCCCCTCACCGAGGTGCGCGTGCAACGCTCATAGCATCTATTTCTATTAACAACTTTCAACTGTGATTGGAACGCGGGAATCATGGACCAAGTGCATTGTATCTATTTACAAACTTCGGAGCTCAAAAATGGTCTTAGAGACTGTATGGCGAGGTTGCACTTCTTAACTACCCTGACCCGACATTTTATCGACATCAGTGTCGCGCAACACTCTTTAGCAACCTCGTACTCCTCTCAATAAAGGAGTATCAAGTCAACTCAAGTTGCATAAGCAATGCTTGGCACATCACGCAACCCCACGAATCTCGTGGCTGAGGTTCGGTCGTTCTCCCTATTATTTAATGTATTGGTGCTTTATCTAGTCCGATCCAATTGTCAGCAACCCAATCGCATCAGACTAGGGGGACTTGATAACACACGGTTTATATCATTGGTCGTGTACCAATAACATCAAACTGGGGGGACTTGATGACATATGGTCCATTAGCATAGCCTAGACTGCTCTAGCATGCCAGCCTGGCCTGATGCGCTCCTGCCAGCTCTGCCTGGCGTTCCCTTGCCAGTCCTGCTGGGGACTCTCCTGCTGGCCAGCTTGGCGCTACCTTGCCAGCCTAATGACACGCTGTTTATATGACTAAGTCCAGTTTGATGTCATTGGTCGTGTACCAATAACATCAGACTGGGGGGACTTGATGATATATGGTCCATTAGCATGGCCTAGACAGCTCTGACGCACCAGCCTCGCCTGTTGCTCCCTTGCTAGCCTTGCTGGGGACTCCCTTGCCAACCTTGTAAGGGACTCTCCCACTGGCTCGGCCTGTCTCTCCCTTGCCAGCCCTACTGGGGACTCTCCTGCCGGCCTGGCCTGGCCTGGCGCTCCCTTGCCAGCCTTTTCTGGTGTGCACCCGCCAGCCTTGCCTGGTGCATGCCCGCCATCATCGCCCGGCGCCTCCGGGCAGCCTTGCTAAGCTCCTTTCTAGTTGGGCCTGAATTGGGCTGGCCCAAGGCCTGACCTAATTCCCCTTGACCTAGTTATCCCCTATAAATAGAATAGTGCCTCCTCCATGAAGGAAGACCTTTTCCTAAGACCCTTTCCACTAGACTTCCCCCATGACTCAGCCTCCACACTATACTCCGGTCAGGTGGCTCAGCCGCCACCCGCTGCCGTCAGCCACCATACACCACCACCAGCACCAAGATGATTCTCTCCAACTATGGAGGACCATCTCAGATCTATCAGTTGATCTAACTTGATCGTCGGAGTCCACTCTCGGGGCACAGTCCATGGGGCAGCTCTAACGCATCTTTCTGTTGTGACCTCGTAGATCCGTCTCCGACGTAGAAACATATTCTTGGAAGGTTGGAGCCAATGTCGCATCAGTTAACAACAAATATATTTGTTTAACCGATAATGAATTTGTGATACTTTATGGTTGACTTTAAAGTATCTACTACATTCTGTTAGAATTTATAGTTTCTATTTTCTACTATATTCTGTCAAACTTTATAGTAATACATTCTGTCATAATTTATAGTTTTTATTCTATTATAATGCATTGAATTGTTTAATTTTTGAAACTTGATTATGTTTTCTTTGTGGATTTAGGTTTTGAAGAGGCTAACATTGATGTGGAGAAGGAAGAAAACATATAGAACCAGAATGTGTTATGCTAGAATGTATAAAGTGTTGCATAAAAATAATATTCTTTCATAATAGATTAGTGTTTTTGTTAGATTTTGATGTTTTTTTTTTCTTTCAGAATGTTGTTATTATTCAATGAATCACAATCATACAATGTAATTATATATTATATTATTAGTTCAAGAATTGATTTTGTGTATTCTTTCAGAATGTATTTACTAGTTTATGGTTGACATTCTGACAGAATAAAATCGAAAAATATATTTACTAGTTTATGGTTGGCATACTATATATATTATTCTGACAGAATAAAATCGGATTTTTTTTAATTTGAATTAATTTAAAATATTTATTTTTAAAAAATAAAGGAATTAATTACCCCTAAAAATACAAAATTTTCATTTTTTTAATATAGGTTAATTGACTAAAATGCCCTTATGCTGAAATTTGTGTGATTATATGGTATATGTTACTATTCTACTATCATAGACCCTCAGATCATGACCTTTGATTATATTTCATCGGATGGTCCAGATCTTTGCATTCTGGCACACAATAGTTAGTAAAAACACAATAACCCAACCATATATATATATATATATATATATATATATATATATATATATATATATATATATATATATATATATATATATATAACTTGTATTGAGGTTGTTTTGTTGCAAACGAAAATGCCCTATTTGTTTGTGTGCTTAAAAGTTAATTTAAAACGAGAAAAGTTTAGTCAAACAAAGTTTTATTCCACATTGTTATTACCCGTTGTAGCTGCGTTTTTTCCTATCACTATAAACCCCCATCATTTAATTTGTTGTTTTTAAATACACCTCATACTTTAATACAAAATATATTAATAAAAATAGTATTAGACACTAATGGTTAGACATCATATTTTATATCTCATAAATTAAATATTTAATTATATTAACTAATTAGTAAAGAATTAACAAATATTTAGGAGGAAAAAAAAACAGAGGAGGGGGGGGGGGGGTAAATTCGTTGTTACACACCTAACCGATTGCCTGCCAAGCGGTACTTGTTGGGAAAATTAGGGTTTGCGGTGGAGATCTGGATATCAGCTTGGATCGTGATATCACCTCCGAACTGATATTTCTACCCTATGTCTGGGTTACAAGAAATCAGCTTAGGATAATCCAAGCGGACACCTACGTTTCTAGGCACAGAAAACGTAAGCTATTATGCTAAAAGGTTCTGTGAATGTGTGATGAAAAACGAGAGCTAAAGAACGTACATCTTCTGGAAAGGAAGAGTTGTTTATATACTAAACACGATTAGGGTTTCATTAGGGTTGAGCCGTCTTTAGTTGCTTTGGAAGCAAGTAATATTAATCCGGACTAGGATAATCCAAGTGGGACCCAGCCAGGGGCTCTGCCCCTTGGACCCCGCTAGACCCCCCCCCCCCCAAAGGGGTGCTGCCCCCGAACCCCCGACTAGTTGTCGAATCGGCTTATGACTCGATCTTATACATGCGTGCACTCCGCACAACCCAGTACATGTATTAGAGTACAAATAATGAACCCCCTTAGCTCACATGTTAGTTCCAGTTACTTAAAATGACATGGGGATACTAAAATCACCAACAATACTTGGACTCGGACTTTATATTAGTTTATACTTAAAGGAATTTAATCATGTTAGTCTTAAGATTCTTCAACATGCAATTGATATGAATTTTGTATCTAGAGTTGAGATGAATTGCAAGTGATACAATATGTAAATATTCTCTCTATATTGTTTATAACTCTATTGGTGTTTTTATTTATTTGACGAAAATTGTAGAAAATGATTTATTGTATGTAATTAATCTACCAATGTTACTTTTGCTACTTTTTATATTTATTGGAAATCCAGGCGATGAAAAACTTGTTGCTAAATTTGACGTGAAAATAAAGTAAGTGAAAGGTCACTGGTAAATTAAAGATAAAGTTTATGTAGCTAATCAGTCATGAAGAGGATTATGCGTCAGATGTGTCCTGACTTATTTATTATCTAATACACAATGATTTAAGAAAACATATGAGAAGTTTCATAACAAGGCATTCAAATAAATACATATTATCAGGATGCGTATTGGGAACTTGACAAAAGCAATGAACACTGAAAGTACACTAATTTCAGGCCTTCATCAACAGATTTGAAACTTGGCGCATTGTTGGCCTTTCATGTGGATTGGAGTCCAAACATGCTCTTGCGAGATTGAGTACTAAATTAACTTGTTTCTCAACTTGTGGTGAGGGAAGTGGAATCCAACTATCTCCCACATTTGCTAACACCAGATACTCAACAGACAATGTTGGTAAAGATGTTATGAGTTCTCCCGGATGCTTTCCCATGATCACTTCCAGTGCAACAACTCCGAAGCTATACACATCGCATTTCTCTGTCGCCACCATTGTATAAGCAAGCTCTACATCCAAAGAAATATGAGATAAAAACAAAAAAAGCTATATCAAACCCACAAGATTCTAACATAAATACATATATATATATATATATATATATATATATATATATATATATATATATATATATCATGAAACTTGAGAACATGTGGAACTAACATCACACAATTATGTTACCTGGGGCGATATAACCATAGGTGCCTGCAATCACAGTCCAATTGGATGAGTCTAGCTTTAAAAGCTTGGAAGTACCAAAATCAGAAATATGTGCCTCATAATCAGAATCAAGAAGGATGTTGGCAATGGAAATGTCTCTATGAATTATAGGAGGCGAGCAATCATGATGCATATAGGCCAAACCATTAGCTATAGCCTTTACAATATTGACCCTTTTTAACCAATCCAATTCTTTTGCGAAGATCTCATGGCATAAGATTGATCCAAGGCTTCCCTTTTCAAGGTATTCATAAATCAAAAATGAGTGACGGGCATGGGAGCAATATCCATAGAGTTTCACTATGTTTCGATGCCTTATGTTGGTTAATGCTCGTACCTCATTAAGGAATCCATTTTGATCAAGATTCTCGGATGATGAGTGAAGTTTCTTGACAGCTACCACATTGTTAGGTTGTAGCTGGGCTTTGTACACAGTCCCATATCCTCCGGTCCCAATAGCATATGCTTCATCAAAATTGTCCGTTGCTTTCAAGATGTCATCATACACTACTCCTCCATCGAAACTTGTTATGGAGAAATAATCACCACCTTCTTTGTCCAACGGTTTCTGCGGAGAATGACTCTTTCGTTTTCGATAAGCAATGAGGCCACACATGAAAAAACCAAGTAAAATTGCCCCAATAAGAGGGAGCATAATTACAAGGATTAGCCGATGATGAAAGGGATCGCTTTTCTTCTTCATAAATTGACTAGCACAAAGTTTCACACCTGTAACATTTCCACACAAACCTGGATTGCCTTGTATGGACGTGTTGAAAAAGTTGGGGCTTGGGGGAACTGGACCTGAGAGCTCATTGTAAGAAAAGTCGATATCAATCCCGAGAGGCAAATTTTTAAAAACATCAGGAATAGAACCAGATAGTCTATTATGAGAAAGATCCAGTTTTTGCAAACTTTGCAAACCTTGAACTTCAGATGGTATCTCTTGTGTGAGCAAATTCTGAGATAAATCAAGTTCTGTAAGTTGAACTAATTTACCAATCTCAAATGGAATTTTCTCACTGAGCTTGTTATTACTGAGATTCAAGTAGTGGATGTGTGCCCATTGACCAATACTACTTGGAATTGACCCATTCAATCTATTTTTGGATAGATCAAGTACTTCAAGGAATTCACAAAATCCGAGCTCTAGAGGTATAGTACCTGAAAGTTGGTTACCAGCAAAGGACAAATCCAACATATTTTTCATTTTGCCAAACTCCTTTGGTATCTCACCAATCAAATGATTCGAAGACAGATCAAGCCTCTGTAGTTGAGTTGAATCTCCAAACTCTGGAGGGATGGAACCACTAAGTTGATTGTTGCTGACCATAAGATCAGTAAGAGACTTCAACCTCACAAGTTGAATTGGAATTGTACCAGCATTCTGATTGTGGATCATGTGAAGGGCATTTAAAGAAGTCAAATTTCCAAATGATGAAGGAATAGAACCATTAAGCTGATTAGCGCTCAACCCAAGATGAGTGAGAGACTTCAACTGTCCAAGTTCAACAGGAATGGGACCTGAAATTTGATTATGTTGGATGATCACCCACTGTAAGTTGGTTAGGTTTCCTAGTGATGAAGGAATAGAACCAGTAAGTTGATTGTTACTCAACTCAAGATCAGTGAGAGAATTCAAATTCCCAAGTTTGATTGGAATGGGACCAGATAATCTATTCCGAAAAAGGTACAAATACTGAAGGTTACTCAGGTTTCCCAATGATGAAGGAATTGAACCACTAAGCTGATTGCTGCTCACCTGAAAATCGGTGAGAGACTTGAAATTCCCAAATTCAGTAGGAATGTGACCTGATAATTTATTATCACTGAGGTCCAATGTCTGTAGATTGCTCAGGTTTCCCAGTGAGGAAGGAATTTTACCACTAAGTTGATTGTCGCCCACCGAAAGATCAGTGAGAGACTTGAAATTCCCAAATTCAATAGGAATGTGACCTGATAATTCATTCTCGTGGAGGTACATAGTCTGTAGGTTGCTCAGGTTTGCAAGTGATGGAGGAACAGAACCACTTAGGTGATTGTGATTCACCTCAAGATGAGTAAGAGACTCCAGATTTCCAAGTTCAGTAGGAATTGGATCAGAGAGTTGATTGTTGTGCAAAGAAAGGATATTCAAAGATGTCAAATCACCCAATGAAGAAGGAATAGAACCACGAAGTTGATTGTAGCTCACCTGAAGATCAGTTAGAGACTTCAAATTCCCTAGTTCAATAGGAATTGAACCAAAGAGTTGGTTGTAGTACAAAGAAAGGATACTCAAAGATGTCAAATTACCCAGTGATGCAGGAATTTGACCTGAAAGTTTATTGTTATAGAGATATAGAAAAGCCAACTTTGTCAAATTTCCCAATGTTGGAGGTAATTCTCCTTGAAGAGAATTATTATACAATCGAAGCTCATAAAGAGAGGTTATTTGACCAATCTGTTGTGGTATTGAACCACTAAAGTTATTATGATTCAGGTAGAGGTTCTCAAGATTGGCTAGCATCCCTATTTCAGGTGGAATTACTCCAGAAAACTTATTTACTGAAAACTCTAGATACACAAGTTTGGACAGGAGTCCGATTTCTGGTGGGATAGGGCCAAAAAAATTGTTTATAACGAGTACAAAATGTGTAAGATTTTGTAGCAAAGAAAACGGAAATCGCTGAAGCGTACCCTTTAATCCAGATGACGTGAGGTTTAACTTCTGAATGCTCCAATAAGAATTGCAAACCACTCCAAACCAAGAAGTGCATGGAACCGAGACATTGGAATTCATAGGGACGGGAAGCCATGAAGAGAGCAGGGAGTCGTTTGGGACTTCAAGGCTTTCTTTCCATTTAAGAAGACCATTGGCTTCCTTCAGAGTAGCAGAAGCAAAATTTGGTATGCGATAGAGTGTAATGATTAGTAGAGCTAGAGAGAAGTGTAACATATGTAAAGAAGACATTATTTGCTTTGCCATGTGTTTTGAAAAACACAGGCCCGTGTGTCCTAATTTATACTTGATCTACCATTTTCTCTTATTTTTCAATTTTCCTTATTCAAAAAGGAAAATTGGTCAATGCCTTATTTTTCCACATGAATTGTCTTCTTCTAATAACTCATTGTCATATTTTTCCACAAGGAGTGTAGTTTACTTTGAATGGTATTTCTCATAGATATTTTGGAGAAAACTGAAGCTTAATAACAAAATTTAAAATAGTTAGTTAGCAAAAAGGCAATGGTGTCATATCTCGATCATGGAATTAGAAGTGAATATTATTTCAATCAGTTTGTTACACGATTATTTTTGTTTTTCAATTAGTTCTATTAAAAGTTTCATTTAGATAGAAAATGTAGCTATCAGATTAATTATATGCAAAATTGTATATAGTTGGTTCAGAAATCAAACAGTCGATTACAATCTTGTTTCAAATTTTAGACAAGATTATTTTAAAAATAAAAAACAGAATTTAACTTCATAAATCGAAAACTTACGAATGGAAAAATTACCTTGAAAAAATATTGATAATTTTTTTTTCTATTTTTTAATAGTTAATGTTGATATGCGAAGAAAAGATAGAACATGGTAGAGTGTGTTTTACTTCAACAATCAATGATTGTTAGTGGACGGCTATATGAATTGGTAATGACTCCTTTACATGAATCTAAAAGTTTATAGACCCAGTGCATTTTTTGATAGTGTGAATGAGGGAAAATACCATGATTTAGAAGAATAATGGCCCGCGGTAATGATTCCTCTGGCATTACGATCTTTACCACAATGATGCTGTCCATAGATCAAATTATTTTGTGGATTGGATTTCACTTTACTATCTACGGCTCCATTGCGTGTGCTCGGGGTATGCCATTGTGTATTAGGCCGTCCGGTTTGGTTGCAACGGACGGGTTCGCAGTCTAGGTGGCCACGAACCACGACCGTGCACACCATCCCGGTGGCTCGTGGTGGTTCGTGGTCGTGGGCATTCGTGCTCGGGACAACGAATAGAAACGGCCAATTTGATTTGCTGGTGAGTAACGGCCATATTTAGGTTTAAAATCCTTTTTTTTTTTTTTTTTAAATTTTACCTTTCAAACAACATTAAACCTTTTCTATAAATACCACACCTATTCATTCATTTTAGTCACACAATTCTTTTCTCTTCTTCTCACAATCACACACTTCTTTTGTTTAATAAATTCAAAACCAATGGCTCCTAAAATAATAAATATGTCAAAAATGAAGAAGAGAACTTAGTATTAGCATGGGTAGCTGTTTCAAAAGACCCAGAAATACCTCTTAATTTTTGGATAAAAGTTGGAAACGTTTTCCATGATTTAATGGGTTGCCAAAGTCGTAATCTTGATGAAATATGTTCGAAGTTTCGCGACATGAGGATTAAATGCTTTGAATTCAATGGGGTTTATAACTTTGTTATAAACAACGTAGACGAAGACGACCCGTTTGCTGTGACCATGCACCAATATGAAGATACGAAACACACACGGTTTAAACACGTCAAAATTTGGCGAAAATTGAGAGTCTCTAAAATTTAGTCATTAAAAATAAGGTTTAAAAACTAGTTTAAATTGTTTGTGGTTGCATTTTTATGTTTTTTTTATTATTATCTTTTTTATTTTATGTTGTGTGTTTCAAATTAATATAATCTTTATTTCATTGAATAAAAAAGTAACTAAAAAAATGTTTTATTGTGTTTGTGAATTAAATTTAAATAAAAAAATGTTTCATTGTGTTTTAATGTATTTTTAAATTAAATTTAAATAAAAAATGAGATGAAGTGGTGTATTTAGTTGTAGTTGTAAGTATCTATAACATTCCGTTTAAAATAAAATAATTAAATAATAAACCCGGAATCCCGAGAAATAATTATTATTATTATTTTAAATTATTATAGTTCAAAATCGAATAATAATTAGTGGGGTGTTAGTTTGGGAAGCCAAATGTCAATATTTGAATCCCCGGGGATTAAATTGTAATTTCAGGATTTATATTGAAAAGGATTTTTGAAGGCACGGTGTAATTGGTAACTTTTGGACTTATTCTGGAAGGATTTATAGGAGTAGGGGCCAAATGGTAAATTTTGGATTTTAATTGAGAAGATTGTGAAGTAGAGGAACCGGAGTTGCAAAATTTGTTTAATAGTTTGAATGGAGTCACGGGACTTTAACCTGTGCCTTCCATTCCCGGTTGGATGCATCATCGAGGAAACCCTAAACCTAATCTCTACCTCTAGCCGCCATCTTCTTTCTCCATCGTCAAGACACCACCTCCCTTCCTCATCTTGTTGCTTCGATCAACCAAGGTCACCGGCGGACCTTGCTGTCAGCGAAAACGTCATTTGCCACTGTTTCATTGCCGACGACAATGACAAATCGTGGCTGTAGCTGCTGCCGTTCGTGGTTAGAGAAGAACGAACCTCTCCCACCTCCTTCTCCGTTTATGTCCTGGTGCTACATTGCTGTTGTGACTCCGACGACGGGCTTGAGGATCGATACCACAACTGATGTTACCGTTCTAAATCACCGCCATTCCCTCCTGTTTAGTCAAGTTTATGTGGTTACTTGACCGGAAATCACAAGAGGGCCGCCACCACCACCGTGAGGTGGTGGCTAGCACCTCCGACCACCGCCTGCCACCACAGAGCGGGTGTGTGTGTGCGTGTGTATTACTTTATGTGTGTGTGTGTTTATTCGGGTATATGTTGTATAATGTATTGTATGACCGGATTAATCAAAGAAAAACAACCTGTCACCACCGTGAGGTGGTGGTTTCCACCTCATGCTGCCATTCTGCCGCCACCAGCTGCCATTCTGCCGCTACCAGCCGCCATCTTGGGTGGTTGAGTGCTTTTGTGTGTGTGATTGTTATTTTGGGATGCTTCGATATTTTTTTAGTCAAAAACTGTAACCATCACTACCTGAGGTGGTAGTGGGTGGTGCCCGACTTGTTTAACCCTAATGGGCCCAATGAAGCCCTAATTGACCTAAAAGCCTAACCATGTGACTAATTGGCTAGTATTTGGGCTTATCGGGACCCGCATATTGGGCCATTGGAATTGAATTAAGAGTTACACCCAATCACACCGTATGATCTATCTAGTAGAATGATGGATTTAATGGATTAAATCTTTAATGGGTTAATAAGAAACACTTAATCCTAATCGTCATTTCATGTGAAACCCTAATCTCAGTTGGTCCTTGATTTGGGCCTTTCTTTTAGGTTTTGGTGAATGGGTTAATGATGGGCCATCCAAGAACAAGCATATGGATTAGAATATTTAGATGGGCTTTAGGATAAGGCCCATTGGAAAGGCTGGGGCCAAATTTGGAAAATTTGGCTATAGGTGGGCTATAATTAGGCCTTGATAATTATGAGATATTGGGCCATTGGAATACCAAGAGTTTGGACTAGAATAAATGGATGGGCCTTAAGGTAAGACCATGTAGTGGTATGCGCCTAATTTGGAAAATTGGGCCATATGTTGGGCTTTGGCCCATTACTTGAATTTTGGGCCTTGGAGCGTGAGTTGGGCCTTGGATTTGAATCAAGCTAGGTTGGGGGTAAAGTAGTCCTTTAACCCAAGCATGAACTCGTGGTTATGTATTGGAACCCAATTATTAATTGGGTGTTGTTTTGATGTTGACAGTTCGAGAATCTATCAACCAGCAACTGGAGTTTTATTCGCGGGACTTCAGCAGTGCCAAGTGAGTTCTTCTCACTATATCAACAGGGTCTAAGACACCAATGTCAGCCCTTATCGGATTTGTATTCGGGTTTATTGCATGATATGTTTATTGATTTACATCATGTTAGTTAGGACGGTGAGATGCTTAGTGACCTGGTAGGTCAGTATCCTATTGCTATGTTAGAGATCTGTTAGATCAGTATCCTGGTTATAGGATGTTAGTATGTTAGAGATCTGTTAGATCTGTATCCTGGTTATAGGATGGTTGTTATGTTATTGATCGGTTAGATCGGTATCCTGGTTATAGGATAGTTGTCATGTTAGTGATCTGTTAGATATGTGTAACTATCTGTACTTGCATGATAGTGTATGATATTTATGTGCATATGTTTGTTGGTTCGGGGGATTGGGTTGAGGAAGGTCCTGCTTTGTGCTGTAGGCCAAGATACCCAGGGAGGACCGGATAGACTGTAGACCCGAGAGGGCATTTAGTCAAGCCAAAGGCCCGACGAGCAGTCCGGATGGGCTGAAGGCCTGAGAGGTTCAGACGTGTCGAAGGCTCGGAGAGCGTTCCAGATAGACTGACGGCCTAATGCGGCCAGAGTTGCACGGTAGTAGAAAAAATAAAAATTTCGAAAATTTTCAAAAAAATTTCCACTGCGGCCGAAAAAGTTAGGGGTTGTCAGTGCCACTGTGGACCACCCTTAGGTCCGCCCCTGAATACGGGCGGTCCCAAATTGATGGCTTATTATCCATGTTGTGTTTGTATATATGATATGGTTATATTTGTATGGCGTTGGTATTTTAGGGGAACTCACTAAGCTTCGGACTTACAGTTGTTGATTTTGTTTCAGGTACTTCTGAAGAAGATCGCGGGAGGGCGAAGGCGTGATCGTACACCTCTTATTGTTTTTATGATTTGATTTCTGGGAAACTCTGACATTGAACTATTTTGAAAACAAGTTTTGTAATAATCATGGGTTCTGAAATGTTTTAAAAAGTTTAATTTTGGCATGATTTTTATGGATGTTACAAGTTGGTATCAGAGCCTTGGTTTGAGTGAATTGGAGGAAACACTCGCGTGTCTCCAGTCTCAAACCGAGGACAAGATTTTAAAATGATTTTCTTAAAATGTTTTCAAAATAATAAAGGAGGGTGCAAGTGTACGACCAACCGGAGCTCGCGGATAGACCCCAAAATACCTTAGGGATTATATGCTAGGATAGGACCCATACGCGTAGCAAGGAAGTCACAACCCCTAGGGTTTAGTTGGGAGTTGGTTCCTCGTTATTATATGGATTATCTGAGATCTCTCTGGTGTATTATCAGAATGGTGGGTTACGAGACCGGATCCGGAGCTGACAGCCAGAGCGGGCCAACAACAATGACAAAGACTACTGGTCAGATGAGACCAGAGAATTTGAATGCTAGGATTCGAGAGATCGTGCACAATGAGATTGTTGCTCTTTTTCGGGCACAGTTGCTGGAGATGTTTGGGTCTATCAAGACCGCCATGGTTGAGTATTTCGATGAGCGCTATGCATCCATCTGAGACGGCTGCCGCATTAGCTTCAACAACTGTGACTATGATAAGAGTTAGCCTCAGGTACCACTAGTGTAACAAATCCATACCAAATGGATCATCCATGTCAAAAATCCAATACTATGACCAAATCTGTAATTTCATTTTTAACAGGTTATGTTGAAATGTATACAAAAATCAATTGTGATAACGATATCAGCTCAACCCTAAACCATTGAAATTTGTATGAGATTCTCACTCAACTTTTTAGCGTATAAGTGAAAGTTTATTACTAACTTATGGTGTAAGTTAAAGAAATGGTCCATGTGGTTTGCACAAGGTCACACTTTCAATTCATGTTTCAAAAAATTGGAACAATCAATCCCCATGGTTTTGTTTTCTTGCAAATTTTATCTTTAGTACTAACTACGTTAGTAAATAACCGTTAAGTCAATGTAAAATGACAATTTTACCCTTATAATTGAACTTCTTGTTTTGTATTTTTTTTTAAAATTTATTGGTTTTATTATTATTCATACCGTCCACTACTTCCATCTCCACCATCTTGAAAAGAAGTTCCAACCATCAACATTACTTCCAGTGGACTGGGCCATATCTTATAAAAGAAATTTTACTATTTCTATAAATAGATTGAATATAATAATATTATTTTTTTAAAACGTACAAACCATTAAATTAATTGTACAAGGATTAATAAAATAATAGTTTTTTGACCCCACTCTTCTCTTCTCTTAGAATGCATAGTCAATCTTTTTCTCCCTTTGACTTGGAAACCCTCATAATTAGCACTTTGAATCGGCCTTTCAATAATTGAACCGGTCATATACGAGACCCTCTCCCCACATCGGTCCATACCTAGGTAAAAAGGAATCAAATCTTAGTCATCACTCCTCAGTCGATTTCAAAACATAACTCTATATTCAAGGTAAGCAATGATTTCACTCCTAAACCTCCCTCTCGATCTCGATTTCAAGCCTTAAACCTCACTCTTTATTTTTGGTTAGGCTTTTGTTGATTTTGGGTTATGTTTGGCAGGGTATAGATTTTGGGTAGAAGTTGTTACGATTTCAAGACCTAAACATCATATTCCTAAACTACCACTTTCCATTCAAGGTAAGCAACGATTTCATGCCTTGAACCTATCTATATTCCTAAACCTCAATCTTCCATTTCAGTAATTACAGGAACTCGATCGTTTTTGTCAATAATTTGATATCATTTTCTTTTGTTTTGATCAGATAGATGGTGGCAACAATGCATACCGGTAATTTTCTTTTTTAATCATTCGCCTTATGCAGCTTTCAAAGCTAGAGAGTATCCTGATAAGCCTGTAACACATAAGACAATGATGAAAGTATGTAAGTTATATCTTAGATTTCCTATGTACGTAGAGCTAACTTTGTGCTGATGCCATCATGTTAGTGTTTTTCTTCTTAGATAATAGAACCTTCTAAATGACATTTTTGTCATTTTACATGCCCTTCTAAATTCTGTCTTTAAATCAAATGGAAAAAATCATATTTTGAAGGTGGAAACATAAGGATTAGTTGCAGAGGGAAAGAGAGTTGAGGAAACTGCTTGAGGCTGGATGCACAACGTCAGAGAAGATGTTACCTTTACTAGGCTCCATTGATGAAAGTATGTTACAATCTTTTCTTAAGTCTTTTTTTGTAGTAGTTTTTTTCATTTAATTGGAGGTATGGCATGTTTCGGCAGATCTATGTGTATTTTATTCAAAGGTTGCCAAGTTTGTTGCCAAGTTGAGAGAGATGAAACATATGAGTAAGTATTGTTGTTTAAATTTGAGGTGGGAGTATGCTACTTCTCAAAGTCAGAAAGGTAATAATTTTATATGATTTTGGTAATGAAAATTTTAAGCTAACCATCTTAAAATGCATTTTCTTTTCGTTTGTTTATATTCTACAAAGACTATTTTGTTAAAATCTTAACCATCTCCTGTAACTGTCACTTTTTATGATGTGTTTGTGTTAACTTTAACTTTGAGAAACTCCAAGAGGATTCTTTATTGCTTACACTTCCATATAGTTGCTCAGTTTATAAGTCGAAAAATAAGAATGGGGATTGGGCATAAGGGTGGTGACGGTGAGGAAGGACTTTTTTCATGTTGATTTGAATAAAGTTTAAGTTTTTATGTTACTCTTTTTTTTTTTTTCTCCATTCACATCAGATCTAGAATCTAACTTTAAGTGGTTTGATAAGGTAGCCTTGTAGACAGATTTGAATCATCTCTCTGTTTTTTCATTTCGTTAAATGGATATCAGATGCTCGAGTTCCAGGTAGCATTCTTGACTTCAAGATCTAATGCAATAGTTCCAGATAACATTCTTTACCAAGATTCTTTTTGATTTCATGTAGCTTAATACGGTTGGACAAATGCGGTTTTTGACAGACTTATAATTTTCTTTGTATTTGAAGTTTTAAACCATTGGGATTCTAACAGATTATTTGTTAAAAGTTTTAGTTTTTATATCTAAGACTAATATTATTTCGTTCAGTTATAAGAGGATACAGTTACTTTTTAGTCGAAGTTGTTTCGTTGAAAATATTTGATGGGTTTACGTGTTTTGTTTGAGCATAATATGGGTTTAATTACAATACATTATTATATTGAACCATACCGCAGTTAATGTATGTGTTTGTAATTTTGATTTCACATGAATAATTTGATTTTTTTTTTTTTTTTATTATTATTTGAGGTTAACGTAATAAATACAGATTTCATTTGTTATATAATATTTAAAGTAATTAATAGGAGTATAAGTTTGGCAAAAAACCAAAATAAATCGTCTACAACCAAAGACCATTTGCAACAAATGTAAACAAACGGGTAGCAGGTAGCCATATCAAAAATCCAATAGTAGAATTAGATGTGTAATTTACTCAACTTTTTCTTTAACTCGAAAATATGACATATTTTGATTTTTAACATGAAAGTATGTACATACTTTTTATCGAATAATATATTTTTATTTTTAACACAAATGAATAATACAACTTATATATTTGATTACGTGTTTCTCATAATTATGATAAATAAACAAACTACGAAGCAATACTTTCTATATATTATTCAAATAAAAATCAACCAATATGCACATATATAATTTACCAACCAAGTGATATCAATTAAAACTACCATTGTTATGGATAAATTTCATATGTTGTATATGTTAGGTAACTCGATCAATGGTCAAGTCAATCAAGGAACAATTAATATAGTAATAAATTTCATATTTGAATAATCGTTATTTTTGAATTTGTTATAGATAAAAGAAAGTATATGTATATTTTTTGTGGGTTGTACGGTTTGCAATGAGGTTTGATGGTAAAGAAAATAAACATAATAATATTATCCAAATTGATGCAGAAAATACAAAAGGTATGTTTCATATTTGCAATCATGATTAGTATTTCATCGTTACACATTTTCATATAAAAAATGTTGCAAAAAAAAGAAAAGCATATAACAATGCATGTTACGAATGACGAAAGGAGAAAAACAAAATGAGACGAATAGCTAATGGTGAAGGAAATAGTCAAAACACAAACATATTTATCAAATGTGCCTACCGTAAATAGGAGTCTTGTGGATATTAGCCATGCATCTCCTACATGTGTATTGGATTTTGGTTAAAGAAAGTTGATTTATAATAGAAACCCTTATCAATGCCAGACAAAATGAAACATAACGAAATCAGGTATAGAAATAACAACCCAACTATGTTCGGAGTTATTAAATGAAAATCTAAATTGTACAACATTACATTTAACCATAATCTTTTACGGAGTATTTGAGACATGCCATAATTTACATTCTTAATGAGATATTTTTGTTTACACGTAGGTATTCAAATTCAGCCTGATGTAATACTACATCCACATGATAAATTGATAACTCAAATTTAAAAATCAATAGGTTAGTATTTGATTTTTACCGAACAATATCATATATATTGGCTAATAATTTTGTTTAATTATTTTAGTTTTATTTATATTACATTTAACTAAAGAATATAAATAATATTATTTTGTAAATAATTTCTATTAATACATGTATTATTTTATCAAAAAATTTAAGGTGTTGAAGGCAATGTCAATATACCAGTACAAGATGAATTGATAAATCAAATTTTGACATCAACAAGTTAGTATTTATTTATTTCTTAATACTTCAATTATGTAATTCAAATAGTCTTATATTTAGATATTTTATTTGAATCAAATGTCTACAGATACAACAAATGCCACTTCATCGGTTTCACAATATGGTAGCATCCTGGAGGATCTATTGTTTTTGTCGGTATCCGTAAAAAACATCTTGTGGTGAAGTTCAATGATATATGCGTATATTGTGGGGCAAAACGACTACAATTTGAATCTACTGGCTTTTGTTGCATGAGTGGAAAGACAAATTTGACAAACTCATCTATTCCTGACGAATTACACAATCTTTTCACATCAAAAAGAAAATTAGGCAAATTGCTTAGAAAAATATACGTGCGTACAACACCAACTTTTCATTTGCATCAATGGGCGTAGAAGTGAATGAGTCAATGGCCAACATGACATCTGGTGTATACACTTTTTGTGTGAAACATGTAATTTCTTTTGGAACATAACATTTTTATAAAGGAAACATATCATCAAAAGAACTTACGCGCCCCGCCGCTTTGCGCAGGTACACTACTAGTATATATATATATATATATATATATATATATATATATATATATATATATATATATATATATATATATATATATATAGTGGTTCAAATGAGGACCATAAAAGATTAAGAACCGTAAGAACCCCATTTTATAAGTAATATGTACACAATACTTATTAAACATGTTAAAATCCGGATTTATTTTTTGTATTTTTGGTACGAAACAAATTTGTAATTTTTGCAGTCTAATATTTTAATTCATACATCGATTCATATTTTAACATAAAAATTATACAAAATACAAAATTTAATACAATCCATTCATAGTTTAGTATAAAAATTCACAATTTAATACAATCATAATATCACTAATTCACTAATTTAGGAAAGTCTCCAAACTCTACCACCACCACCACCAACTACCACATACCAACACCATCCATCTATGTCAATGTCGTAACCATCATTCCTTTCAAACTAAATATGTATATAAAATCATACATTGTTAGCTTAATACTATATTCATACTTTAATAAACATATTAATTCACTATTTAGAGTTTAATGCAACAATTATAAAAACTAATACATTCTTACATATTTACTTCACCAAAAAATACTCATAAGAAAATTAATACAAATATTTATATTTTAACATAAAATTCATAAAAAAAATCACAATTTAATACAATCAATTCACTGCTTAATACAATCAATACAAAAAATTAACAACTTAATGTATTAAATTCACAGTTTAATACACAAAAACTATATATTCATATCCATATTTTGTACTTAGTAGTTATAGTTATACATTCGCATATATGAGCTAGTTTTTCTTTCAAATTTTAATTTATATAATAATCTCAATTTAAATTTTACATGTTATTCAAAATTAGAGAAAATAAAATGATTAAAATCTATATATAATGTTTCTTTCATCTTATATTTTAGAAGCAAAAATAAAATCCATAAAAAAATTAACAACTTAATATACTCATTTCACAACTTAATACATTTAATTCATAATTTAATATACAAATTCATAGTTTAATAAAATATATTACAGGTTAAAAATTACATCTGATGATGTTTGGAGCTTGGAGGTTATATTAGATTATAGTTCACACATTCATCATAATTCACAACTTAAAAGACTTAAATTCACATTATTTGAGAAAATACTAATATAATAAAAACATGTTTAAATTCACATTAATAATTATAAAAAAAATCATACATATACTGCTTAAAACTTATAAAAAAAATTCATTTAATCACAACTAAAACTTATGAAAAAAAAAATCATACATTCACAAATTAATACTTACAAAAAATCATGTATTCACAACTTAATACTTATAACATCATGCATTTATACCTTCAATTTTTTTCTAATTGAAACAATCAGATATGTATCGATCCATGCATTAACAACTTAATAATTATAAAAAAAAAATGCTTATTCACAGCTTAAGAAACTAGTTCAGAAACTTATTCATATTATTCAATATTTAAAAACACACATTGTTTTTGGTGAAGCATTTCATCAACAAATCTTCAATGCATCTTATTGATGGGTTTTAGCCATAAGAACTTTCCTATGTGCGCATGCAAAACCCTAATGCTTGGATATAGGCTTTCTAATCAAACATGCTTTGAATCCAAGACTTCTAATGACTATTTAGGTGTAATAACAATATTGAAACAGATCTAGAATCATACCTTTGAATTCCTTGTTGATCTTGTTGTCTTGGAGCTTCTAGAGTCACAATTATCACTCCTCTAATGGCTTACAAACACCAAATAGCAAGGAGGATGATTTGGGAGAGAGGAGAGGGGAGGAATTCGACCAGAGTCTCTCTAATTTAGATGGGATATCG